CGTGATACGAGCAGGTTCTTGTAGAATGGATGGCTTCCAGCTCACCTGTGTTTGTAACAAGCCTGGTTACTACAAGTTCTGCTAGAAACAAGTAAGACAAATTTGCTTCAGTTCTTGGCTGCTTATTTTCTATTTCCAGACTTTTCTCTCTAGAAAGAGTCTGTTAGTAGTAGCTCAGTGGCACTTGATACTGTTTCTACAGCTTAAGGCTTCTTTAATTTCACTGATGGTTACTTCAGAAATACTTAGTTCTACAGAACAACTGATGTGTTTTCCTCCCTCTTGTCTTTTCTTTTACCTGAACATAATAGGAAGACCCAGACTGGCAGAGCTAATTTGGACTGTGGCCAATTCTTTTAACTTTTTAACTTAACTGGCTATTAATTCACATGTGGAAGCTGATAATCATGTGTAACAAATTATAGAGGAAATGCCTCAGAAAAGTACCTGCAGAGCATGATGATTATTTGTTGCCATTAAATTTAATTGGGGGTATCTGGATACAAGTTTCCTGTGCTGCTGGCCCTCCTGCATTCACACTTGGCAGTATAGAAGGCAAGTCCTATTTCTGTCTCCTTAAAATAAATAAGTTCCCTACTGCTTTCATGCTCTTCAGGCTGCCTTTTTCTTTTGCTCTAAGTGCTAGTTAGAGAGTCCTGGCCGTGCTGTCTCATACCTGGACTGTGCTGTCTTGCCACTTGACAAAATCAAAAGTTTATCAAAAGACTTTTGAGCCAGAAGTTTCAGTCTGTTTTCAAATACCCAGAAGATGGGGATCATCATGTTTCTTGTATGTGCAGCACCAGAAATGATGACAGTTTTTAGATGCCAGAGTTCAGAATCTCCTTTACAGGGTTTTTCTTTCACGCAGACCTTGCGAGACACATGATCAGAGCATGTACAGCTTGACCTCGTGTGATGTGTCCTTTTGATGAAGGTATGGCCTAAGATTTTCCTAACCAGGAGAATAATTTTAGACTCAAACAACATACTTTTCCCCTTAGATGTGGGTAAGACAGGGCTGATGGATATAAACACAGCCAGTCATGAAGTGGAAGTCTTAGAGGGAGGGATGGGTTTAGTCATCTTTGTTTCTGAAAGCTGCTGTAGCTTAGGTACTTTGTGGAAAATAAAAAAAGAAAATTATTAAAACTACAGGGGCTTTCCACCTAGAGGCCAGATTCTGCTGCTTTTATTAAAAAGGTAGTAGTAGTGAGAGTCACAGGTTTCCATTTTAAAACTTTTTTTCTGCTTGTGCATTGATGGTAATTTCCTTGGAGTTTTGCACTTTACATTTTGGCTAAGAAAGGCCACCTTACGCAAAAGATCAGGGTTTTCTCTCTTCAGTGGCAGATTTTATTAAAAAGTAAATTTTATTTAAAAATGGAAATAAACTTGGTACTAAGTAGCATTTGTAAGGAATATGCCCATGAATGTACTGTCATACTTCAGACTCTAGCTTGTGAAATAATGAACCAAATCCAGCACTAGCTTTTTGGAAGCTGCTGTGCAGCCACTTGGCTTGCAAAGGAGGTGGTGTTTTAAGGGTGAGTATAACTAACTTTTCAAAAAGGAGGCTGAAATAGGGTACTGGGGGAGGTGAAGTTGCTGTTATAGTGAGAAAACTGCTGTTGTGTTTTCCAGCATCGCTGTGTCATGTTCACCGTAGTGTATCAAAACAATACCTGTATTGCAGAACAGTACAAAACCACAGTAAGCCAGTATGGAAACTTAATGATGTGGTATGGAATTTGTTCATTGGTTTTTACAAATGGTGTTTGGAGACAGAAGAACTTGGCATTCCATGGAACATCAATCAGCTGCCTAGAAGTGAAGATGGGCAGTATATTTTCTTCAGTCATTGATGGAATAATGCTTTTGCCAAATGGTTCTACAAAGCTGTATTTAGAGATAAAGACTATGTAACTTGAGAAAAGCATGCCATGCTTTGAAGCAGGCTGTCATTTTATAAGACTTATACATAGTAATTTTTTTCTACAAGGACTCAAGAGGCAGTACTGTTTTTCTAATTTTGATTGTTTCAGTATTTCCAATGTAAAAGAAAAAAATAATTAGCTGTGCTGTGACACTTTAGGGATTTTTGACTTGTGTTTTGGCCATGACAGGCACCTAACTCTTACAACTCAAATTGTACTGATATTAGTTCTGCTTTGCATTTATACTGATGCTGACTTCTCTCTTCTTTTGCAAAGCTACAGTGCTTTAGGGGGAAAAAAAAGCGCTGTGTAGGCTAGTCAGCAGATAAGAGGAAAAGTAAACCTTTTTGCCTAGTTGTTTTTGAAATGTCTGCTTCCCCAGGTTTTAAAATTATGAATTTTTTTTTCTTTCAGTAAGGGCAAATCTCTCAGTTCCTTAAATTGGAGAGAGCTGTGTACAAGCTTTATTTACCACTGGATAAAAGTGAAGGTCCAAGCTGCATGGAAAGCAGCTCCCCAGAGAAGGATCTGTGGAACAAGCTGTCCATGAGCCAGGGATGTGCCCCATGGAAAAGCAGGCCAACAGCCTCTGGAGCTGCACCAGCAGGTCCAGGGAGGTGATCCCTCCTCCCTCCTCAGCCCTGGTGGGGCACAGCTGAAGGGCTGGGTCCAGTGCTTAGAAAAAAGGGTGACACAGATAGGCTGGATGGAGTCCACCAAGGGGCAAGGAAGATGATGAAAGGGCTTGGAGCAGGTGACATACAAGGAGGAGAGGCTGAGAGAGCTGGGAGTGTTCAGCCTGGAGAAGGAAGCTCAAGGTGGATTTCATCCTTGTGCATGTGTGTATATGTTTGTATATATACATACATAAACAGAGACAGACCTTATGGGGTAAGTAAAGAAGCCTGAGCCAGGCTCTTCTCACTGGTGCCCCCTGAGAGGACAAGAGGAAACAGGCACAAACTGAATGAAGCACAGGAGGTTCCCTTCAGACAGAAGAAGAAACTGTTTTTACTGTGAGGATGCTCTAGCACTGGCCCAGGCTGCCACAGGAGGTTGTGGTGTTTCCGGCCCTGGGGCTATGGAAAGAAAACCTGACTGCACACAGCCCTGAGCAACCTGTTCTAGTTCACCCTGTTTTAAGGAGAGTTGGACTGTGTGATCTCCAGAGCCCCATTCTACTCTCAACAATTTTGTGCACTCCCCTCAGAAGTAACTAGTAAAGGTGTACAGAGTACCAATTCTCTTGTGTATCTGGGTTTAAATCCAGCCTCTCTAAGGAAGGGAGTCAGCAACTGATCTCATAAATGTAAAACTGTAATTACTGGTAACATTTCTATCTTGAGAGAGATACTCTGGGTTCATGTTCAGACTGGTTGGCTTCCAAATTACTACTCATGGAGCATTGCTCTATGTGTGTGTGTGAGAGAGAGAGAGGTGTTCCTGAACACTTCACTTAAAATAATTACTACACACTTGCTTTTGTGAGTTCCTACAAACACTGATGGCCTATGCAAGGAGAGGAAATTCAGCAAGGGCAGCTTATGGAACTGTAGGCAGCCAGGTAGCAGATATTTGTGTGGAGACATGTCTTAGAAAGGTAGGGCTGCAGCTGAACCTTTCACCTGAACCTGCTTTTCTGGAAGAAAATGAAGATGGAAAGTAGAGGAGACAAAAATTACAGACTCTTGAGGTGCCGTCACATGATTAAACGCAAGTAACTTGGCTATCAGACCAGCTCCTTCTGATAAAAGAGGGTCTCTTACAATATAACAGACCATTCCACCTAACTCTATCCCTGTTGCTGATACAGGTGCTGCATTGCTGGACCCTTAGTGCTACTGCTCTGCAGAACTCCAGGTGTGTTGTGGAAGCCTGACCCCAGGAACAGCTGCTGCTAAAATATGTGAGTGGCTTTGATCAAATACCTGTCTGGTTGCTGAAGGCATACAGCAGGATGTAGGCCTTTGTGCTAGCTATGGTATTTCTGCTCATTTTTTTCACTGGTCCTCAGCTTTGTAATTTCTTTGGCTCCAGCTGGAGCTGTTTTAAATGTAGACTCACGCTGTGGTTATGCCTTGCTCTAGTTAAAGGGTGTGGAGCTCGTTACATGAACTAGTAAGTATTAAAAACTGAAGCACAAGCTGTTGAGCACCTGAATTAGCTCATCTTTGTGCTGGACTGCAGTAATCATCTCTATTCTCCCCACTGCTTGGAGTAGGACTAGAATGCTCTCCTTTCTCCTTCCCTTCTCTTGTCTGACCCAAGAGAGCACCAATGGGAAGAAAACTGAATTTGCTTTTGCAGAGTTAATGATGTCTTTCAGAGAATGCCTTGAGACTTAGTGATGTTTGCTGCAGTGAGAGCAAATGCAGGGGAATAGCTGTAAGCATAGCCTAGGCAATTCTAGTAAAGATGGCAGGATAAGATTTGTTCTAAGAGACTTGAGTATGTGCTTAAGAGTGACCACTGAGACTAAGGAACTCACACCCATGTTGCTCTCTGCAAGTCCAAAGACATTAATGCTTGAGTCTCTTAGGACCCCTACGTATATGGTAGAGATGATCTTGGGGGACGAAGAAGTATCAGAAACCTGAAAGGCAATTAGCATGACTCTTTCCACTTCCTACCTATTTTCTGAACTACCTGTAAGTAGAAAGAAGTGTTTAAATTACATTCATTTCCTCACCAGAAAGCATAGCAGAGAAGGAAAGTTCTTGAAAGACAGCACAGCCATAACAAGTATGTTCATCAGATCATCTCAGTTCAGCAGGTGGTCTTTGGCTTAAAAAAAAATAGAGCCAAACTGTCTTTGCATAGTTAATTAGTTTGAGCACAAGATAAAGAAGTTTGAGATCTGAGGCTGCCATGTGCTTGCTATCTATGGCATCTTTCAGAAACAGAAATGATAGCTAAGGTCATTAATAAAAGCAGCTGTTAAATCAGTGACAGATGGCCAAAGCAGTTGTATAGTTAATGCCCTGATCCACGTCAGACAAAATCCAAAAATAATTTAAAAAAAATGTAATGATAATGTAGGAACTAATTCCAGTACACGCATGGTTTTCTTTCCACATCAAGGCATTTTATTGAGGTATAAACTTTGCAGAAGATGAGGTAACAATTTGCATAGGATTTACGCAAAGTAACTTCACAATTAAAATTTAACTGGCATTAACTACTGTCTGTGGAGGATTGATAATTCCTGCTTGTTAAATTCTCCTCGATGCACAGCTCTGTTAATGCTAGGGGTAGGACCATGTCGTAGAAGGTACAGCAGTTGTGAGTAATGAAACCAGTCAGACTGAAGTTGCTTTCCTGCAAACATTACAGCTTCTTTTCATCCGTTGTTGGTGTTAAGAGATGACTGAGACAGACAACGCTTGCTACAGCTTTAAGTAAGCCTGTCCAATTCAAGAAAGGGATGCTAATGTTCTTGTAGCAATGACAGTGGGGTGAGTGTGGGTGTGTTGTTTGGGGGTTATTGAGTTTTTTTGTTTGTTTAAGAAGGCTTTTTTAGTTATTGGAATAAAAAGCCCCTAGTTGTCAAAGTTAGTACTTTAAATTTGGCACGTGAGTTTTAAGTCGTCAGGCTTGTTAAGGCTAAAACATGGAAGTCTTGGTAAAAATACATTCTTGTGTTATTAAACACTCCTCTTACATATTTACATGAAAATAAGTTCATGCTCTATTTCCTCAATTTCAGATTTTAAGAAATTCTATCAACGTATCTTTAGTGTAGCTCCCCTGAAGATTGCAAAAGAATTTCACAGAAAGTTGCCTACAAAAATTCAGTTGCTATCTGACATGTTTAACATTCCTTGCTGGTGAATGTCAGTATTCTAAGAGCTAGTAGCAATTCCTGCAAGACAGTAAGAATCACGGTATCATTAGAACTATACTATAAAATGTACACAAGCATATACAGAAAATTAACCAGAGAAATATCAGTTGTCCATTGAAAGTAACTTTTCTAAACCAATTCAAAAATATTATCAAAATACAAAACCAGCTTAAAAAAATAGCCTGAGGTAAAAGTTAAATGCACATAGCAATCTTTTCCTTAAAAAAATAGCTGTATTGAAATTCTAGGTACTTACAAAGTTACTTACTGTCAATAAACCTTTTACTAACCATTGTAAAGAGTACTTCAACTAATACGAAAGTATATAAACATTGAAAAAGTACAATATTGTACTTTCATTACAAATACATAGTTATGACAATTCAAACCTTTACCATACACACAGTTAACTGGCTTTGGATTAGCTGCTACTGTTGTCCATGGAACAGCCAGCTAATTCTGTGTGCTGCTGACTTTCAGCTGTGCTAGGACATGGTACTTTACCACGTCCATTTGCCTGAGTAAGTCGTTGACTGTAAAACAAAATGTAGGCTTGAGCCTTGCATACTTCTTCCATAGTGCACATGTTGAGTTTGGAATCATTGCAGTGTACCCAAAATCCTACAGTAAGGAAATACACACAAAAAGACCGTCACCAGGACACTGATAAGTAATTGCATTATATTTAACAATTAATTACTGTTCAGTCCCATTTAATGAGTTGTGTACAAATAGTAAACTGTTTCAGTTGATCTAGTTTATTTGCCTCTATTTGTCTTAAAAGCCCAGCTTAGCTTCCTCAGATTGACAAGAGAGTTTATAACCAGAATGCATTTAACAAGCCAATAAAAAAACTGAACTCTTGGTCTACAGAACTGCAATTCTCATTCTAAGCAGTTCAGCTACAAGTGACTCCCCTTTCCTTTTGCGAAAAGACAGTAATCTTGCCAGTTTAGAATTACAAACCCCCCTTTCTCCCGCACTCCCTATTTCACAGCTGATTCCTACCTCCTTCTGAATTGTAGCAGTAGGCAGTGTAGTGCCCTGAGCCAAATCCTTTCCCGTGATGCATTACCACAGCGGACAAGTCGTAGATGAAGCAGTCAGGCCGGAGAGACTTGAGGGATTCTCTGCAGCAATAAGGCTCCATGTTTAGTATTTGGTCAAAACTAACATGCACGCCAATCTTCTCACGATGATTGCGTCCTGACCACCTGGAAAGTTAAATCAAATGAAAACTTACGGTTTTTTTCAAAGAAAGAACACAGCATTCTGAATTATATTTTAACATAACATATTTTCAATATTGTTTTGTGCACAAAATAAATGCTAGGTTTTTTTCTAAGCTTCCTCTTTTCACTTCTTTATTTCAAGACCTTTTTAAATCTGTCTGTGGTACTTATTATCATCTTCTGAAACATCCACCTTAAGGTCTGTGTATGGTTAGCGGGAAGTACTTCCCACCTATTATACCTCACTGGTATTTCTCATTTATCCCATCTCCTTCTCATCAGTTTCCTTTGTATTAGGGACAGACTGTACAAATGTGTGGGCTAAGAGTTCACAGGGATGCAGTGTCTGCTTCCTTACTCGCAGGCTAATGCATTCATGTATTTGGTTATATGAAGGTCATCTGGGACTTCCACTGAATACAATCCAGGTTTGTACATTCATGACTATGAGCATTTACTTTACCTGAAGGTATCACAAGATTAATTTTTACCAAAGGAGTTCACAGCAAGGTTAGTAGTTTTGACCAAAACCACAGATGAAATAATTTTGGTACTAAAGCAGCAAGCAGCTGAATCAAAAAAGTTAATTTCCTACTTATAGCATATCTTACTGATGTTTAAATTAAACAAGAAAAAGAAGTTTCTAGTAACTATTTCTCATCATACTAGCAGAGGGAAATGAAACTGATGCTGAAAAACACTGATCCAGAACAATGGAAGAGCAGGAGTGAATCTGTCAGTTTGCAACACTTTCTGTTGTGGTACTACTTACCTAAACCGTTTAAGGTGTAATCTGAGAACCTGAGGTAGTCGACACACCATAAGCTGCTTCTGAGCTTCTGTGAGTATAACTGGTTTAGAAGAAAACTTCCTTCGTTTTGCTGAGGTCAAACACACAGTTACACAATACAAATCTTGGTAACAGCCCCGTATTTCAGTCTAAGATTTATCCACAAAATTTGTCTGAACCTAAATATCTATAGTATGTGCCTCCTTAGAAAGGATGGACTCTGAGAGCCATATTACGAGGATTATTTTATGATGCAAGTAAAAAATACTTTTGGTCACTTACATTAGTCACCTTAATTTAAAAAGCTGATGGCTTCTTCAGCTCTTCAGCTGGGAGTATCAGAAACCCCATTAGTGTGTGATGAGACTGGACCTAAGAGAAGCATCACACTGCAAAACATCTTGTGAACAATTTAATCTTCTGGGTGGTGAGTAACAGCTGTCAGGTCACCACACCAGGACATAAGAAGAAGGTCTTTGTTTGTAACATAGTTCTAAGACTTTCAGTACTTTCCCTCTATACTTCCATTGTCAGTTTATATTTCACGCAGAGAACGTACACATGAGTACATACTGCCTTTACTCACTGTTGCACTGATCACATGCATATATCTTTCCTTCCAAAGCTTCAGTTTCTGTAAACTTGGCCAGCATTTCTGTCAGCAGACATGGATACTGAGACGACATCATCTCCTTGCCGTTGCAGTGGTACCTCTCGGGAAACTCCAGGGACAGGTCCCAGAAAGGTTCTATGGTATTTGATTTATTGTCACAGGCAAGACACGTAACCTGTAAAAAGATATTTCAGCAGTTGCTTACACTCAAAAATTTACTTCACTAAAAGCGTACCATAACATACTTCTAAAAAAAGATTTTTTTCCCTAGAGACAACCAACATAACCAAAGACAAGACACAGTAATTTAACAAAAGAAATGATACACCTAATTTCTTTTCTCTGAAGCAGCACGTCCAATACTGTTATCACAAACAAGTAAGCGATCTTATGTTTTACTGAGAAACAAAAACAGTGTCAAAATGTTCTGTCTGGGACTGTCCAAAAGAAAGCAGCTGGTGAAGTCTCAGGAGTCTTTTCTCCAAAGGAAAATTTATATGAGAAACTATAGTTTAGGTTAATTTAAAAATAAATAAAAATAAATTAAAAACACACACACACGCACAAAAAAAAAAAAAAAAAAAAAAAANGAGTTGGACTGTGTGATCTCCAGAGCCCCATTCCACTCTCAACAATTTTGTGCACTCCCCTCAGAAGTAACTAGTAAAGGTGTACGCAGTACCAATTCTCTTGTGTATCTGGGTTTAAAATCCAGCCTCTCTAAGGAAGGGAGTCAGCAACTGATCTCATAAATGTAAAACTGTAATTACTGGTAACATTTCTATCTTGAGAGAGATACTCTGGGTTCATGTTCAGACTGGTTGGCTTCCAAATTACTACTCATGGAGCATTGCTCTATGTGTGTGTGTGAGAGAGAGAGAGGTGTTCCTGAACACTTCACTTAAAATAATTACTACACACTTGCTTTTGTGAGTTCCTACAAACACTGATGGCCTATGCAAGGAGAGGAAATTCAGCAAGGGCAGCTTATGGAACTGTAGGCAGCCAGGTAGCAGATATTTGTGTGGAGACATGTCTTAGAAAGGTAGGGCTGCAGCTGAACCTTTCACCTGAACCTGCTTTTCTGGAAGAAAATGAAGATGGAAAGTAGAGGAGACAAAAATTACAGACTCTTGAGGTGCCGTCACATGATTAAACGCAAGTAACTTGGCTATCAGACCAGCTCCTTCTGATAAAAGAGGGTCTCTTACAATATAACAGACCATTCCACCTAACTCTATCCCTGTTGCTGATACAGGTGCTGCATTGCTGGACCCTTAGTGCTACTGCTCTGCAGAACTCCAGGTGTGTTGTGGAAGCCTGACCCCAGGAACAGCTGCTGCTAAAATATGTGAGTGGCTTTGATCAAATACCTGTCTGGTTGCTGAAGGCATACAGCAGGATGTAGGCCTTTGTGCTAGCTATGGTATTTCTGCTCATTTTTTTCACTGGTCCTCAGCTTTGTAATTTCTTTGGCTCCAGCTGGAGCTGTTTTAAATGTAGACTCACGCTGTGGTTATGCCTTGCTCTAGTTAAAGGGTGTGGAGCTCGTTACATGAACTAGTAAGTATTAAAAACTGAAGCACAAGCTGTTGAGCACCTGAATTAGCTCATCTTTGTGCTGGACTGCAGTAATCATCTCTATTCTCCCCACTGCTTGGAGTAGGACTAGAATGCTCTCCTTTCTCCTTCCCTTCTCTTGTCTGACCCAAGAGAGCACCAATGGGAAGAAAACTGAATTTGCTTTTGCAGAGTTAATGATGTCTTTCAGAGAATGCCTTGAGACTTAGTGATGTTTGCTGCAGTGAGAGCAAATGCAGGGGAATAGCTGTAAGCATAGCCTAGGCAATTCTAGTAAAGATGGCAGGATAAGATTTGTTCTAAGAGACTTGAGTATGTGCTTAAGAGTGACCACTGAGACTAAGGAACTCACACCCATGTTGCTCTCTGCAAGTCCAAAGACATTAATGCTTGAGTCTCTTAGGACCCCTACGTATATGGTAGAGATGATCTTGGGGGACGAAGAAGTATCAGAAACCTGAAAGGCAATTAGCATGACTCTTTCCACTTCCTACCTATTTTCTGAACTACCTGTAAGTAGAAAGAAGTGTTTAAATTACATTCATTTCCTCACCAGAAAGCATAGCAGAGAAGGAAAGTTCTTGAAAGACAGCACAGCCATAACAAGTATGTTCATCAGATCATCTCAGTTCAGCAGGTGGTCTTTGGCTTAAAAAAAAATAGAGCCAAACTGTCTTTGCATAGTTAATTAGTTTGAGCACAAGATAAAGAAGTTTGAGATCTGAGGCTGCCATGTGCTTGCTATCTATGGCATCTTTCAGAAACAGAAATGATAGCTAAGGTCATTAATAAAAGCAGCTGTTAAATCAGTGACAGATGGCCAAAGCAGTTGTATAGTTAATGCCCTGATCCACGTCAGACAAAATCCAAAAATAATTTAAAAAAAAATGTAATGATAATGTAGGAACTAATTCCAGTACACGCATGGTTTTCTTTCCACATCAAGGCATTTTATTGAGGTATAAACTTTGCAGAAGATGAGGTAACAATTTGCATAGGATTTACGCAAAGTAACTTCACAATTAAAATTTAACTGGCATTAACTACTGTCTGTGGAGGATTGATAATTCCTGCTTGTTAAATTCTCCTCGATGCACAGCTCTGTTAATGCTAGGGGTAGGACCATGTCGTAGAAGGTACAGCAGTTGTGAGTAATGAAACCAGTCAGACTGAAGTTGCTTTCCTGCAAACATTACAGCTTCTTTTCATCCGTTGTTGGTGTTAAGAGATGACTGAGACAGACAACGCTTGCTACAGCTTTAAGTAAGCCTGTCCAATTCAAGAAAGGGATGCTAATGTTCTTGTAGCAATGACAGTGGGGTGAGTGTGGGTGTGTTGTTTGGGGGTTATTGAGTTTTTTTGTTTGTTTAAGAAGGCTTTTTTAGTTATTGGAATAAAAAGCCCCTAGTTGTCAAAGTTAGTACTTTAAATTTGGCACGTGAGTTTTAAGTCGTCAGGCTTGTTAAGGCTAAAACATGGAAGTCTTGGTAAAAATACATTCTTGTGTTATTAAACACTCCTCTTACATATTTACATGAAAATAAGTTCATGCTCTATTTCCTCAATTTCAGATTTTAAGAAATTCTATCAACGTATCTTTAGTGTAGCTCCCCTGAAGATTGCAAAAGAATTTCACAGAAAGTTGCCTACAAAAATTCAGTTGCTATCTGACATGTTTAACATTCCTTGCTGGTGAATGTCAGTATTCTAAGAGCTAGTAGCAATTCCTGCAAGACAGTAAGAATCACGGTATCATTAGAACTATACTATAAAATGTACACAAGCATATACAGAAAATTAACCAGAGAAATATCAGTTGTCCATTGAAAGTAACTTTTCTAAACCAATTCAAAAATATTATCAAAATACAAAACCAGCTTAAAAAAATAGCCTGAGGTAAAAGTTAAATGCACATAGCAATCTTTTCCTTAAAAAAATAGCTGTATTGAAATTCTAGGTACTTACAAAGTTACTTACTGTCAATAAACCTTTTACTAACCATTGTAAAGAGTACTTCAACTAATACGAAAGTATATAAACATTGAAAAAGTACAATATTGTACTTTCATTACAAATACATAGTTATGACAATTCAAACCTTTACCATACACACAGTTAACTGGCTTTGGATTAGCTGCTACTGTTGTCCATGGAACAGCCAGCTAATTCTGTGTGCTGCTGACTTTCAGCTGTGCTAGGACATGGTACTTTACCACGTCCATTTGCCTGAGTAAGTCGTTGACTGTAAAACAAAATGTAGGCTTGAGCCTTGCATACTTCTTCCATAGTGCACATGTTGAGTTTGGAATCATTGCAGTGTACCCAAAATCCTACAGTAAGGAAATACACACAAAAAGACCGTCACCAGGACACTGATAAGTAATTGCATTATATTTAACAATTAATTACTGTTCAGTCCCATTTAATGAGTTGTGTACAAATAGTAAACTGTTTCAGTTGATCTAGTTTATTTGCCTCTATTTGTCTTAAAAGCCCAGCTTAGCTTCCTCAGATTGACAAGAGAGTTTATAACCAGAATGCATTTAACAAGCCAATAAAAAAATTGAACTCTTGGTCTACAGAACTGCAATTCTCATTCTAAGCAGTTCAGCTACAAGTGACTCCCCTTTCCTTTTGCGAAAAGACAGTAATCTTGCCAGTTTAGAATTACAAACCCCCCTTTCTCCCGCACTCCCTATTTCACAGCTGATTCCTACCTCCTTCTGAATTGTAGCAGTAGGCAGTGTAGTGCCCTGAGCCAAATCCTTTCCCGTGATGCATTACCACAGCGGACAAGTCGTAGATGAAGCAGTCAGGCCGGAGAGACTTGAGGGATTCTCTGCAGCAATAAGGCTCCATGTTTAGTATTTGGTCAAAACTAACATGCACGCCAATCTTCTCACGATGATTGCGTCCTGACCACCTGGAAAGTTAAATCAAATGAAAACTTACGGTTTTTTTCAAAGAAAGAACACAGCATTCTGAATTATATTTTAACATAACATATTTTCAATATTGTTTTGTGCACAAAATAAATGCTAGGTTTTTTTCTAAGCTTCCTCTTTTCACTTCTTTATTTCAAGACCTTTTTAAATCTGTCTGTGGTACTTATTATCATCTTCTGAAACATCCACCTTAAGGTCTGTGTATGGTTAGCGGGAAGTACTTCCCACCTATTATACCTCACTGGTATTTCTCATTTATCCCATCTCCTTCTCATCAGTTTCCTTTGTATTAGGGACAGACTGTACAAATGTGTGGGCTAAGAGTTCACAGGGATGCAGTGTCTGCTTCCTTACTCGCAGGCTAATGCATTCATGTATTTGGTTATATGAAGGTCATCTGGGACTTCCACTGAATACAATCCAGGTTTGTACATTCATGACTATGAGCATTTACTTTACCTGAAGGTATCACAAGATTAATTTTTACCAAAGGAGTTCACAGCAAGGTTAGTAGTTTTGACCAAAACCACAGATGAAATAATTTTGGTACTAAAGCAGCAAGCAGCTGAATCAAAAAGTTAATTTCCTACTTATAGCATATCTTACTGATGTTTAAATTAAACAAGAAAAAGAAGTTTCTAGTAACTATTTCTCATCATACTAGCAGAGGGAAATGAAACTGATGCTGAAAAACACTGATCCAGAACAATGGAAGAGCAGGAGTGAATCTGTCAGTTTGCAACACTTTCTGTTGTGGTACTACTTACCTAAACCGTTTAAGGTGTAATCTGAGAACCTGAGGTAGTCGACACACCATAAGCTGCTTCTGAGCTTCTGTGAGTATAACTGGTTTAGAAGAAAACTTCCTTCGTTTTGCTGAGGTCAAACACACAGTTACACAATACAAATCTTG